ATGACAGTAATGACATTACTCAACAGCATTCTCCAGTTCTCCTCCCCATATGGTGGCCCCATTCGTCGACGTTGACGTCGAGTGCCTCCCCCCACCAACGCCCAAACTTGGAAGGTGGCAACTCAATTGTTTATTGCTCACCCAATCATAGCTTATGTGGACTTTACTTGTGTTGAGTCACCCCTAAATCATAAAAGCTATCTGTCATATCATATAACATCTCAAGTTTTAATTCCCTGATTAATTAAACCTAATTAGGGTAATTAAGTAAGTTGAAGTGGTGTGTGGCCAGAGAGCCCTAATAATTATATTTAATGGTATTTAGCCCTAATTGTGGATCTGGTATCGAGGCAAGCCACCCAAGCATCGAAAGGAGAAGAAAAGGAAAGGTTAAAGTTGCTATACCACACGCCACAGTGCGTAGATTGTTCATCGCGACGCAAAGCCATTTATAAGAAAAGGAGGACCTCTTTATGCCATACACTATGGTGCATTGTGCGTCCGCCATGGTGTATGGCCATTTTCTGCAGTTTATCAAATGCAAAATGAGACAAAAATAGAAAGGAGAGAAAAGAGAAAAGAAGAGACGCGCTAATGCTCTGCTAGGGTTTACTTAGGGATGACTTTGAGAGTATTTTGAGGGCTATAAATACCCAAGGTAAGATTATGGTGCTTTCTTCTTCCTTTCTCTCCCTCATTTGTAATGATTTATAGTAGGGTTTGAGTTGAGAGATAGATTTTTGATCCATAGGAGCATAGTCCAATTCCATTGGTTAAAATAAGTTAAATGGGAGTTGTTTAATGTATTAGAAGACTATACTTGTGATTTTAGAAGTGGTTGGTCCATGGAGTATTTAATATTCAAAAATTAGTATTTATGAAATAGTTGGGAGAGGCTAATGTGCATTAATGATGGTTTAAGGTGTTATTAATGATAATGTGCATTTGTAGAATCTAATAAGCTTGTTGGGTAAGAATGGGTATTGATTATGAGTTGATAAAAATAGTGTATGTGGAGTTTATGTTGATAAAATTTCAAGAGCTAGATAATGATGATATCCTCATGATATGATTGTAGAGAGGTTTATTTTGGCACCATTTAAGCTCGTTGAAGCTTGGGAAAGTTGATATAGTGAGGGGTAAACTTTTGACCTCTCAAAGATTTAAAGTAACCGAGGGAGAACTCTACTTTGGATAGTTATATGTTAATTGATTGTTAATTAGTTGTTGAATATGAGTTTGTGAATGTTACATACATAGGATTGATTATTAAAGTAAAAACTATATATATGTTTCATTGAGTGCATGGAAAAGCTATTTTTGACTTGAAAATGCAATATACAAAGTCAAGAGGATTTTAACTATGAACATGCTTTTGTTGTTGAAATGTGAATAAGATGACATGTAGAGGTATTTGTTAGTTTATGAGAAAATGATAAGAATACACACTTGGGTAGCGCAAGGTCATGAGCCCAACGTGGTTGTTGTAATAGTGAATATATGAAAGTAAAAAAGTAAAAATAAGTGAGTAATGATTATGGCATGATTAGTGGTGAGAGTTTGCCTAGGGATTGGGAGTAGAGAAAAATTCATATAGTATTTAGGCTGCCCTCTGGTGCACTGGATCATAGCCTTATCTTACTGTTAGTCAAGGGACTAGAACCTAACTATTTCCACTGGTTCAATGAGGAGAATAGCTTAGGATATGAGACACCCTAGGGATTCGAGAATGGGGGAAGCCGTAGTCTGAGAGTGAGTCTTATGATCTTTGACCGAGTCACACCTCACTATTGGTGAGCTTGGATAATCCAATCACACGGACGGAGCCCTATTCAGTGTTATAGCTCACAGTTTTAGTTTGAGAAAATAAGAAGGATATAAGGTTGGTTGATCATTGCCTAAGTGAATATATAACGCGTCACAAGTGATAAGTGGTGGCAAGTCTAATGAGCATAGGTCATGTCATATATCTGAGAATATGATGGTAATGCACCTAGTTATGAGAATTAAAGAACTTATTTAACGATAAATGACAAGATATGATTTATGTTAGCATGTTTTATAAATTTGATTTTCCTTGTGCATATATTTGGTTTATGATTGATATATAACTGCATAGGATAGATTTAACCTTGGTTACTGAATGGCTAGACTCACCCCTTTCCTTTAACATTTTTCAAGCCCTAACTTTGGTGTTGAGAGGGAGAAGACTAAAGAGGTGGGAAATTAGCATATTCCTACTATATGCCTCTAGTTTAGCTTTAATGGTGTAATGGTATATGAATTGTCAATTGTAGGATGCATATCACAACACTTGCATTATTTTGGTTGTTAGAAATGTTAGAATTGTAATTTGGGCCCTTAGCCTTTATGTATGTTGATGTGTGTGTGTGTGTGTGTTTTTAAGGTCAAAATACTAGTGCAAGTATAGAAATGAAGATTTGAGCATGTTTTGAACGATTTGAGTGAAATGCAATGACAAATTACCTCCCCCTTTATTTTTGGTAAATTGGGGTTGAGGAGTAAATTTCAGTTATACTGATATTTCAATATTTGTGACGTATTATATTGGTAGTCCTAAGTCCATTGGACATGGTCTAAGTGTTAGGAAAAGCTTTTGGCACTTGTTGAGGGTTTTGGACACCCATTTTGTGTAAAAGTGTTGAAAAGTAGTTAAATGTGTTTGGGTATCTAACTTTCTAGTGTGACTTGTTTTAGAAGTGAAACCTATGCCATTAGTTAGTTCATGTAAAGGGCTTTTCATAGACATCTAGATCACATCATTCGGACGTCAGATGGAAAATCGGGGTGAGTCAGAAGTTCCCTCGATTGTGCTGTCAAATGACAACAGAATCAATGGAAATTTTGTGCAACACACCGTAGCGCATGACACCTAAGCCATGGCACGTGGCATAAAGAGCAACACGCCGAGGCACATTGCCTTATATCACAACATATGTTTTGTTTTTCAATGGTTTTCAACTTCTTTCACTCTTTTGAGGTATCTCATACTTTTGAAACTTATTTTTACTTTAATATAAAAGATTTTGATCGATTTTGACTCGTTTCTACTTAGAAAACTTGAGATCCCTTGCTTTTGGATTAAACATTGGTAATCACTCTTTGAGCTAATCTTTTAATTACCATGTGTTTCATTAATTAATTGTGTTTAGTGGAGTGAGAACGTTTCACATCATCTCACTTTAATGGTGTTAAAACAATTGTAGCAAGAAGGATGGAAGTTTAGGAGATGGAAATATAAGGGTTGAATTTTGAAAAAATAAATTACAATGACTTGCAAATTAATTTTATTTTATTTTTAAAAGGAAGAATTATATTAAATTTCCACCAATTATATCATATTCAAATGGCAGTAAAATCCTAATAAACTAGAAAATGCATGTAAAATTTAAAAGAACTTAGTAATTCCCTTTTTTCCCTATAAAAAGAGAACATCTTATATAAATATGTTCAAAAGTTTAATTCTATTTAAGTTTCTAAAACTTTTCTTTTACTATCTATTCCAACTTATAGGACATTTTTAAATAAAATTATAAATATCAATAAATCTCGTTAAATACACTTTAAAATTAAGAAATTTTTGCATGGACTCAGTGCACCCCGTTATTTATGCTCCATCCAATAAAAACATGTCATTTAGATTGCTATAAATATAAATTAATTTTTTCACTAATGATAGTGGAGAAAAAATGCAAGAAATTAAATAGATATTTTATTCTAAAAGTTAAGTCATTTAAAAAAAAGGCATATAAGATGTTATTGGATTAAATTGGTGTAATTTTATTGGATGGAGCATAAATGACATGATGCACAGGTTTATGCAAAAATTTCTCTTTTATAACCTTATTTTTAAATAAATTTTTAAAAATGTCTTTCATTTAATACTTTGTGAATAAATATTAAAGAGAAAGAAAGACAAAAACAGGGAATATAATAAGAAAAGTAATATTAAAAAAATATCATTAATAAAAATTATTTTTATTAAAATATCTTATATTTTAGGACATTAATCTCAGTTAAAAATACTTTATAAATGAAGATAGAGATAGTACTTCTTAAATCTTTAGGAAGAACTTTAATGTTATTATCCCTTTCAAAAATTAAAACCCTATCCTTGACTCCATCCACAATTTCACATGGCACTTTGAAAGTTAACTGTGTTGATTAAGATTAATGTGAATGCTGACACGTCACATAATACAACTATTGTCTATCAATGAGAGCACCCTTCCCTTGTCTATTTCATTGTAATATACTAGTAACATAGCTACTCCCTCTATCATATTATTTTTGCCTTTTTTAAAAAAAATTGTTGTGTATCATAAATCTTTTTAGAATTTCAAAGCAATATTTAATAGAATGTTTTGTTTTACCCTCATTTAATCTAATAATTTATTTAACACGGTTAAGCACTATTTTCATATTGTCCCTATTACAACGCAATTAAATGAGAGAAATTAAATGAATATTTTTTATACATTGATTATACTTTTTTTTTTTAAATACGTGTGCAATAATCTTAACAGGGTGACATCAGGAAATATGTCATTGTGGACCCCAGCCACGATAATGCTTTGAAACTCCATGCCACGCAGTTTCGTTCTAGATGAACTTTCCCCAATGACCGCGTAGAAAACATAGCAAACCCAGTTCCAATGCATGTATTGCTCAAATAAAAGCCATGGTTGTTGTATCAGAAAAAGCCATGGTTGTTAGTTCCATCACTTGAAGGATCACTATCTAATGGGATTAATGGCAACTCATTCCTCAGAATAATCTGGACCTAGACATTAGATAAAAATAAATAAAATATAAAAACTTGTCACCGGAAACAATAAAAGCAAAAAAAAAAAAAAAGTAGGTAAGAACTAAGCCGTGCCAATTTTTGTGAGAGAATTCCGATGGTGATTGATGGGGAAAAAAGATCAATTCTGACCATTTACTTGTACTCCCAAATAATACGGCAATGACTTGCGCAATAATCTTCACAAACTCCCTAGAAAATGACATTGACTTCATTTTTCCGTTCCTATAATCTGGACCTTAATATCTTTTTCCTCTCTTCCTCCTTCATAATAAGCATCTGCGCTCTCTCTTCTCTGCTCTCACTCAATTGTCAAACCATGCTAAGTCATACACAAGAACTCACGGGAAACCGCCATGTATCTTCTTCCACACCAACCTGTCATGCACAGAGCCGCCATGGAAGCGGAGACAGAGAATTCAGTTTCTGGTGTTCATCAAATACAGAATCCTCAGGAAATGATTGTGTTCGACTTCAAGGGAGATCTGGAGAAGGGTGTGGTATGCACTCTCCTACTTCGTGGGAAACATACAAAGGAACAAGCTTTAAATCAAAGAATTCAACTTTGATCCATGGTAGCCACCATTGTTACAGTGTTTCTCATGATTCAAGAAGTAAAGCTATTGCAGAAAGTAGGAAGGAGCTTATGCAGACGCTTCAAGACTTGCCTGAGTCAAGCTTTGAGCTTTCTTTCCAGTATCTGGTGCAGCAGCAGCAAGTGTTGCAACCTGTTCAAAATGAAGCTTTCATTGGCAAAAATAGCGTCAATGAAGCTCATGTCAGAAAGAAGGATAGAAAGAAGAAGGAAAAGGAGAAGGAGAACAATAAACCAAATCAGATATTGCGGGTTGAGGGCATGGGAAATGAAAATTTCCTCCTCAAGATGTTCTTTCCGAGTTCTTTAGACTGGAACAAGAAGGCAAAAGTGGGGAATGTCCCCAAGCTTTCACCATCATTTCAGGAATCCAAGGAGAAGAGGATAAAGAAGTCGTCTCCGGCAAGAGAAAACAGAAGCGACTCGGAAGATAACACAGGTGAAAGCACCAATAACAGTCGTAAGAGAAGCAGTAAAAGCAGGTACTTAAGTAATTTTCTTCCTCAGAATCTGATTTACAAGGGCAGATCATTAGAGATCCTACACCTGAATAAAAACAAATTCCCAGTTGTATATTACAAACTGATGCATATATTGCTTCCAATTTCACCAGGTATGGTTGTGGCAATTTCTCAGTAGGTTGCTGGCCGTCTCTTTTTTCTCAACAACAGAGAAACATGGGGGATGAGATTTAAACAGGGATGCTTGAAGGGTACGACAGGATTAAAAACATAAGTTGGATGGAAGAATAGCATGGGTAGAAACTTTTGAGGTATTCCTGCATTCTTAAAGTTTAATTGGAATTATAGCAATCATCGGATTCTTTCATAACCAAATCTGTTCATCTGATGTGATGGAACTTCGAAGGGGGGATGAAGAAACTGTCCAGAGTATATAGTATAATTTCATGCTTCTTGCAATGTATCGCCTGAAAAATTGCTATAGTCAGTCCAAAGTGCATATGAATAAGTAGTTCTATCATAATCCTCAATTCCAATTGAATTGAAATCCGGCTTGAGATCATGCATCGCATTGTGAATTCTTCTTTGCTGTTGTTTTCCTCCTATACTCTGATCAAAGATTGTATATAGAAAGGGCATCATGAGGCAATAAAGATTTGGTTTATAAAAAAGGGCATCAAATGAAAACAAATTAAACATGTTGAAACAATTACCGACTTTCATTTTAGGTTTAACAATTACATGAAAAACTGAATTTGTTGAGCTCGTTCGCAATATAATGTTGCTCTTCAAGGTTGATGAAAGTCAAGGCAACAAACACCTATTGAATATTGACCAACTTGTCAGACATAAGAGTTCGGAGTTATGAGTCATCATGATCACACAACTGGGCCCCCCTTACTTTCGTCCTGATCAAGAAGAATGCTGAGTTATTAAATTGTGATTATAGAAGAAGGACTAGGGCTAACATAGTTCTGTGAGAGCAACATTAACACTTGCCTGCGATGAGCTGGCACCACCCGATTCTTAACTTTTGTAGAAACTGTATCTTGAGTCGCTTGCTTTTCTGGAAGCCAACAATTAAGAGGGGAAAATTGTCTAGTAAGAATTATACATCTAGAGTATCAAATCAATTAGGCCTTCCGGAGGAATAAACAGTTGTATAAAAATGGTTGCATTACAAAGAAAGCCAGAATATAAACAGAATATTGCATGCTTCTCAAAAAGGGCAGGAGAAGCTTTTTTTTTTTTAATTTCACCTAAAATTTATTTGTTCTTGAATCTTGATACATTAAAGATCTAAGACCATTATTCTGTTTTCTTAGAAGATGTAGCCAGACAGCCTAAAAATGTGGATAGACCTAAATATCATACTACCTTAACCATGAAGACGCATGCAGAATTTTTGTTCCTTAAAACAAACTGTTTTTAGTTATATTACAAGGATAATTCAGTAAAACCTTCAATTTAGATAATTACAGTAACAGCTTATGAACTACTTCACTTGCAGGCAAAAATGAAGGGCATGCTTCAGTCGGACAGAGAAATCACCTGGAGAGTTTTGCAACCCATTAGTAGAGACATCTGCTTTCTCTGAGACACTAATCTTCTGAAACTTCTGTCTCTGTTCCAGTTGTTGTATGCTTTCATTTCTTTCCTGACAAATAGGAGATGTTCGCTAATAAGCAGACAAAGTTGCCAGAAGGAAAACAAATTCTAATATAAATTACAAGCTTTAACTTCCATTCTAGCCATCAGGAACTCAAATATATAAGTACAATTCTTTTCAATCCTAAAGGCAAAAGATGGCCATAATTTCCCATGACTGAGATGAAATGCATAGACTCATTAAAAAGGGTAATCTACAAAAATAGGCATTTATAATTTATAATTATAATTAGAGTTAAGCCTCGTGGCCACTGTACCTTTTCAGCTGCTATTGCCTTCGTCAACTGCGCATTGCGCTCTTTCTCTGAAGGCACAATAAATGAAGCTAACAGTTAATTTCAGCAAAGACTAGTACAGAACCAACTTAGGTCTACTCTGCCCCAAACTGACAAAGATGCATGTAAAGATAAAAGTAACATAATAAATAGCTGCGTTACAAATAAGATGAACAAAAAGTTGGGGCAGATGACATGCAATGAGAGTCTGGTAGACAATAATTCCGTAATACCATGACCAGTGACAGGAACATGCACAAAAATTTTCGATACTGCAAAGCTGCAGGTCCTACCAAAATCATCAAGAGTTAGGACTAAAGAATGAGTTGTATATTTCAAAACAGAAAACGTATTATATATGCTAATTAGCACTAAAGAATGAATACTACATCTAACGTAGAAAAAGAAACAAACACACAAGGATAATTAAAAGACTAAATTACTCAATCTTCTTCAAGCAGAAAAATTAGTAAGGGGAAATATTAAGCATACAAATATATATCCACCTCTCCCAGTTGTTCAAGTAAATTGAATGATAAAACCAGACAACTAGACAAGGACCCTAGCATCATTGATGTTGATCTGTCTGACAAATAACAATAATAGCATGACTCAATTATTAAAATTTAGAACAGGTTAAGTACATATTATCCCCATGGATCATGGTCTACTTAAAAAATAGGCACATAAATTTTCAAAAAAGGGAAAAAAAAAACAAAGAAAGAAAAGAACAGAGAAGAAAAACTCAAAATGCAACATATTTCCCCCATTGAAGTATTATTTTCTGTTCAGCCTCAACGGGTTTTGTTTACATTTAAAGTTCATGTGCCAATTATGCAATTAGGCCGACTCAGGCTAGCATCATGATGTGACAGTCATCATCAAACTTCTAATGCTAGAAATATAGACTAAAATTGAAACATTGCATTTTATTAAATACACAAATTTAATTTGATAGAAGCAAAAAAAAGTATCAACATCTACAAATTTTATTCAAGGAAAAAAAAAACTACAGAGGCAACTGTAACCTTCTTTGAGAGAGTTGTTGATGCTTTTGAATGCCTTAAAGAGCCTCAAGGATAAATTTGACATAGCTTCTTTAGCAGCCGAGTCTGCCAGTTTATTAAGAGCAATGCTAATCACAGGCATTCCTTTTGATTTCTGAGCAACTAATTTCGCTTTTCCATGAGAAACACCTAATATACAACCCACATATAGTGAGTGACACCATAAAACTACTTCTAAACACATACAGCATCAAATTCCTTTTCACAAGGAAAAGAGTACTTCACACAAACAATAGATGCCTACATAATACATATACTTTATATTCCAAGTTTGTAGAAAACATAATAAAATCACAATCTATTTCCGAAGCAATATAACCACCACCCTTCAAATATCACCAAAAAAATCCTATCACAAAAAGGAATAAATTGTATATGGATCACAAATTATCAACCATAAGGAACAACAAATACACAAACTAGCAGGGATAGACCATGAGTAATCTGCTTTTAAAACTAATAATGATACCATCCCCTTAATAGATAAAACAGGAGGGCAGACAGGATAAATAAAATGATACTTTTCTGATCTCACATAACATACATCTTATTCAATACTATCTTCCAACAGAAGATCACAAATCTCTTCAATGACGGCATCCCTCCTGATGAACTAAATCGATTGTGTTTATGACCTCCTTTTTAAAAACTTAACACAAGCAGTTTAAATCATCTATCTTATGAATACTAGCGTTTCAGCTTCTGTTATACTCAAGAAACCATCCAGTAATAGCCATCAATTTCCACAGGCATATATCTACAAGTAGCACTTTAGTGACACTCACTAACTTCAGTGCCACAAAATATATCTCCTTTAGTAATAATTACTTTCAAAATTTTCAAAGGCAAGAAACAGAGAGGTAATAAGAAGGATAGTCACCGTCAAAATCTGAACTCCGCTCTAGAACTAATTTCAAATCTGCTGATTTAATGGAAGTTATGAAATAGTCAAGAAACTCTGACCAAGAGCCCCCTATTCCAGTGATGTCCCTCTGCACAAAAGCTAATATCAAACACCATAATGATGCTTCACAAATGTTAAGCAAATTTCCATTAACATGATATATAATGTATGTTCTCAGGATCAAAAGCATGGTGTCATCAATATTTTTCCATAGAAACAAAAATATCAAACAGAAGAACAATTATGTTTTACATATATTGTCTTAAACGAATCAAATCATTAGCCAGCAACATTTCGGCAATAGCAATATACAGCTTTTCATTATCTTTCAAAGTTTTAAACTGAAAATAAAGCAGAACCAGGTAAAAGGCAAATTAGAATGCTCACGATGTCCTCAAGTCGAGAAACAGAAAGAGGCGCTTCCCAAGTATCGGAATGGAAATCAGTGACATGAATTACTAGGTGAGAAGAAACAGGTGCGTATGCGTGGAGCAAAAACTGAGGCAGAGGAAAGGAACTTTGAGCTGAGAACTCCACTTGGGGTTCGCAAAATATGGGTTCGAAGTCCTCAAACTCCATTGCCATTTAAGATGAACCCTTGTCAGTTACAGTCAGTACCTACTCAAACAAAACACGAACAACTTCAGTCAGACAGACTCTACAGCAATGTTTATGTGATATGTACTTATATTTTCGATAAGTTAAAGTTGGCTATGCGACGAACTTCGAAAGCACATTACTCCGTAAAGACTTTTATCACAAGTTTATCTGCATGATTCCCTCTATGGCTCTATCGCAACGAACTAAGATATAATCAGAAATTGAAAAAACAAGCGAACAAAAGGAATTCATTCCAATCCCACAAAATCATTACCATCAGAAAACAAATTATCTAACTCTAAAACCCACAGAGACTCCTTCAAGTCCATCTTTCCTTGGCTTCCCTAGGAAGAGACTCGATATCCTTTCAAAAATTAAGATTAGAAAAACAAAAAACCAAAAACTACGAATAAATGAAATTGACAGCATAAGAAAGAGGAATACCAGGAAACCCGACGAGGTCGAAAATCAAGGAAACAGTGAGATTTTAAGCTTACAAGTTTACAATCTAACTTCTCTTTATCTCCTTTTCCCCCGCTAAACTTGTCATCACGTTAAAAACTCTTGGATCGGAGAGGAAATACAGTTTTAAAAAAGAAAAAATATATATTCTAAAATATAAAATGGGCCTCTAAACCTATCCTGTTTAACTGGTTTTAACCAAAAAGGCAAAGCCTGCTTTGATATGGACTAGGCCCATAATCTTTTTATTATTATTTTTTTTTTGCATGAGAATTCTGATGTTTGACCATGACAAAAAATTAATAGCCCGTTTGGTTCGTTTCCCTGCTTCAGGATTACTTGTAATCCTGGTGCATTCCCTCCATTCATGGTGTTTGGTTGGGCAATGTCAAGTAATGAGAATCGCGTGATGGCTTTAGGATTATCTTGTATATTGTAATCAGGATTACATCAACAAGCCAATGTAATGGAGATTACATTGTTGTAAATGACAACTGTACCCTTGCTTCATCTTCATCTTTATCTTCATCAAAGTTGAACGCCACCCACCTTGTCCAGTGTCCACTACTGTTGACGGAGCTATGGCACCCTTTATTGTCAGTACTAGATCCGCACCAAACCCCCAACCTTGAACCTAGATTTGTGTTCTCCCCTTTATCGTCGACAACAAATTTGCACCAAGTCCCCAACGCTGAACCTAAGTCTGCGTCCCACCTCCACCTGTGATGAAATTTGTGATGATAAACTGTGATGCAAGTGAGGGCAATGGTGAATTGGTTATTTTTGCTATAAAAAAAAGAAAAAATTAATTTTTTAATTCTTCAAATTTTAACTCACCTATAATTCAGTCCCTCAATTATGACTCGCTGCGATTCAATCCCTCAACTTTTGATTCACATATAATTCAGTCCTTATTTTTAAATTTTTTTAAAAAAATTATTATCAAATAAGAGGGATAAAAAAATATTCATATATTATTTTAAAATGCCCTCCTTTTACTCATTGATGTGAGATATAAGCTAACATGAAAAAAAATTAATAAAAGTTAAGGGACTAATTTATAAGTGATTCAAAGGTTGAGGGACTAAGTTATAGGCAAGTCATAGTTGAGGGATTAAGTCATAAGTGAATTAAAAGTTAAAAGACTAAAAGATTAATTTTTTTATTAAAAAAAAGGTTGGAAGAGCTTTCATTTATCCATTAAGAGGAGGAGTGAAGTGAAAGAAATGGGTGGAGAGTGGAGAGTGAGAAATAAAAATGGATGGATGTCAGCAAGGAGGAAGAAGCAAGTGAGAAAAGGGAAGGCAATAAGGTTAATTTAGTCTTTTTAATCTATATTCATATTAAATTAAATATAAAAAATAAATTTATTTTCACTCCTCGTTATACCATACCAAACAAACTCATGTGAACATCATTCCATTTCATTCCTTACCTTCACATTCCACTACATTACATCCAATTAAATGAACCAAACAAGCACAAAGTTCACTCAAAAAAAAAAAACAAAGAAAGAAAGAAAGAAAGAAAGGGAAACACTTATGTCCCATTTGGTATGCTGGAAATGGAGACATGAAAATGAAATTGCAGTTCACTTTTTTTTTATTTGGTATGCATGAAATGGATTTTCATATTGAAATGAAATCCATCAAAATAAGTTGAATTGGATTCCATAATAAGGCCCATGAAAATGAGATGGGTTCTATGAAAGTGAATTTTTTTGGACAAAAATAATCTCAGTTATAAAATTGTTCAACAAATTTGCCCCTTCATCAATCATTGAAGTAAATCAAAAAAATTTTAGTAAATTGATTATATAAATGTATATATTAAATAAAAAATATATCATAATTAAAAAAATTAGCAAGGGTATTTTAGTAATTGATTATATAGATACATATATTAAATAAAAAAGTATATCATAATTTAAAAAAAATAGATAGGGGTATTTTAGTAAATTAATTATATAAGTGCATATATTAAATGAAAAATATATCATAATTTAAAAAATTGACAGGGGTATTTTAGTAAATTGATTATATTGATGCACACATTAAATAAAAAATTATATCATAATTAAAAAAATAAATAGGGGTATTTTAATAAATTGATTATATAAATGCATATATTAAATAAAAAACATATCATAATTTAAAAAATAGATAAGGGTATTTTAGTAAATTAATTACATAAATGCATGTATTAAATAAAAAATATATCATAATTTTATATATATATCAAACATACTTTTAAAACTCACTTCTACCTTTATTTTCATTTTCATATCCATTTTTATTTTCATCAAAAATATTTTTAAGATATCAAATGAGGCATAAGATGCTTAACCTTAAAAGGAGCTCAAATTTGGGATTAATTTTACAGCTGTCAGTTGTAGGAATATATTAGGAAATGAAAAAAAAACATTATATATTTAATATATTTTTTCAAATTAAATCAAAACAAGTTCATCATAATGTGTTAATAATATTAATAATAAAAAAATTAAAAAATAAATAATATATAAAAGATACATATATTTTAATTCAATTGAAAATAATTAGTATTTTAAGTATGTAAGTTTTATCTTTTCATCATCTTCTCTTCCCATATTCTTCCCTCATCCTTCTAATTTATAACTGTTAGATCAATATTAAGACAGTTTAAATTTAATTTCTTATAAAATAGTTATTTTTCATTTTTTTTACTACTCAAGTTAATTTTTACCGATTTGAAATTTGAATTTGATTACTTATTTTTCATAATTTAACGTTTTAATTATATCGTTACAGGAGATCAAATCCAAATTATTTAAATTTTGATTTAATAGTTAGAAAAGAAAATGATGGGAAGATGGTGAAAAGGAGAGAGAAGCTGGTCGGTCTATTCCTTCTATCATGGATTTAGAGGTGAATTTTTAAGCGGATGGTTAGTTCCAAGTTCAAATGGCTCGGCTCATGGAGTGTGATATTCTTTTTTAACTCTCCCACTATTTGGCGTAAAAAAAAAAAAAATTGATACTGACTTTTATTTAGAGCTAATCTCATGCATAGGCATGATACTTGTCTCATTCATTCATTCATATATACAAACGTTTATATATATTTAGGAAGAATACATAAAAAGTATTAAAAATTTAATTTTAATTTAAAAAATATCTAAACTAGTATACTTATATAGTTTTTTACAGTGACGCTAAATAAAATATAATCATTAATTATATTTTTAGTTTTTAATAACTAATTACTTACTGCATGGTCCCTTCTACGTAGGGTTTATATATCAAAAGATTGCATTCCTACATTTTACAGTTAAGAAAGTGTAACCTTTATCTTTTTATTCAATCTAAAACTTATTTTCTAGGGAAAAACTGATATTTTTAAAGCAAATTGCATAAGTATATTAAGAATAAAAACAGACTAATATCATAAAATTTAACAAAATTTAATTTCTTAAAAATAGCCTCAAAATATTAACTCACAATTTAAAAGTATTAGATACACATCAAAAATTAAAATTTAAAAATAATATTTTGATACCCTATAGATACATATGAACAAAAATCAATATTGGATAACACAACAAAATAGATAAGCAAGGTAACTTAAAATAATGGTGCTTCATAGGAGCTAATTAGTTAAATACTCCAAGGCGTTAATTTCCTCTATTATCTGTTATTTTTCTCATAACCTTGGCTTAATAAAAAAAAATCTTAAAGTGAAGGAAGAGGGGGGAAAGTTTGAGTGTTAATTAATATTTGAATGTTGTCATTGAGGATGATAATTAAGACTTAACTCATGAATATTTAGACATTGTGTCTAAATTGTTAGCTATATGAATTATTATATGCTGAACTTTCATGAGATGCACTTCCTTCATTCAAAAATATAAAGTATTTTTAATCAAATCTTACTTTTTAATAAAGTGGTTATCTATTTTTAAACTAACTCTATCTTTTTATATTTACCTCTATTAAATACCCTACAATAAATATAAAGTCATTTATCAATAGGGATGCTTTTAAAAAATAATGATTACACTTCAAAAAACTAAAAATGTCGTATATTTTTAATATTTAATTTTTTTAATATTAAACAAGTCATTTCATTCCAAGAAACTACAATGGACTTACATTTTTTAAAATGATAATAAAATTTCATCAAAATATATAAATAATAATCAAGTCTCTCAAGATGTCATAATTCTTCTAAAGTTTTTGGGTACTTTTTGACATCAATAATTTTAGGTTAAATAACTAAATTACCCATTGTTTAACATAAAAATAATGGGTATAACTTTATTTTTTCAATCACAATTTTTATTTTATAAATCATAAAAATTAAATAAAAAATCACATTTTTATCTTATGAGTCACAAGAACTAAACAAGAAATTATAATTTTTCCTATGAATTTTTTTATCATTAAAGTCTATTTTTTGAAAATAACCCGTTACAATTCTTGTTTAAATAATCATACCTTTATTCCATGAACAACAAGAATTGAAAAAAAAAAGTCACAACTTCTCATATGAACCTGTTTTTTTTTTTAATTTCAAACAAAATATAATTTAATCATTTAATATAAGATTATTAATTTTAAAAAGTTATTGAAAAAATTTAAAAAAATTATGATATTTTGAAAAATTTAATTATTATTTTTATGTTACAATAAGATTTTATTGCCCTTTTCCTCCCGGGAAACACCCGTATCCTACATGTCAATTTTAGAGGTCTTCAATGAAAATCCAGTCTGCTCTGAATTAAGTTTTAGTTTCTATATCGTATATAACTCGCTAGCATAAAATTTCATTTTAAAAAAAATTAATTACTTTTCATTTTCATAATCTTCATCTTCGTTGTAGCCCAATCTTATCTCACTCTCTAAAATTATGTAAAAGTCCTTCAATCTAATTCAATTTGTTCTATCATGAGACAAACCCAATTCTATTCAAT